TTAAAAGTGACAGAAACGCAAAGCTCAGAACCTAAAAACCCAACCAAGTATAAAACTACATTTGTGTCTCCCCCTTCTCCAGAAACCACCACTGATGATATTACTGTGACAAGCTGCCCTGCTTTCCCCACAAATATTGTGGACCTACCTGGTGTCCAGAGAATAGTGGTTGAACACATAGTGAAAACAAGCGAAGCTACCCTGTCACAGCAAACCTCAGTCCTTCTGAGAGTTTTCTCAGGGAGGTCTCCTCGTCCCCCCAACTAACCAGATTTCGACACCTGGCGTGCAAGTGTAGACTTCTTGTTAAATGATCCTTCCATCTCTGACTTGCACAGAACACGAATCCTTGACAGTGTCTTACCTCCAGTTGCCGACATTGTAAAACATGTGCGCCCTCCAGCCCTACCTGCTGTGTATCTTGAGCTGTTAGAGTCCGTATATGGTTTTGTCGAGGACGGAGACAAGTTGTTGGCCAAACTCATGGGCACTCTACAAAATCAGAGTGAGAAACCATTAGACTATCTGCACCACTTACATGTCATTTTGAGTGCAGCAATCAGGCGAGGTGGCATAGCAGAAAGTGAACGTGATCGTTAGCTTTTGAAACAATTCTGCAGAGGATGTTGGGACAACTGTCTCATTGCTGACCTTCAGCTTGAAAAAAGAGAAATCCAACCACCCACTTTTGCTGAATTAGCAGTGCTTATTCGATCCCAAGAAGACAAACACGCCTCTAAAGAGGAATGGATGAGAAAGCATCTTGGGATGACAAAGCCCCATAATGCCTACCCCAAGTCACGGACAGTCTTTAACCAAGTGTCAGTCTGTTCAAGTGATGTGCTCAAATCTGATAGTTCTGAAACCAGTCTCTTTAAGAAACAAATTGTGGAAATCCAAGCTCAAGTTACTGCCTTAAAGCAGTCTCCTGATCAGAAGAGTCCAAAGAGTCATTCTGAAAAGGCTGAGTTGACCGCTTTAAAGAAGATGGTGGAAGAATTATGCACCCAAGTAGCCGTAGTGAAAGCATCTGTCACCCAGGGACTGAAACAAGACCATGCAGAAGAGTCGGAAATAGCTAGGCTGCAACGTCAGGTTGCGGAGCTGCAAACTCAAAGTGCTGCTCGTAAGTTGCCTCAAACTTCTAACACGCAGAGACCACTTGAAACAGAAACAGACAGGAGTCCCAGGACGGGCCAGCTGAGAGTTAACAAGAGTTAACCACGACCCTGGTACTGTTTCCGGTGCGGAGAAGATGGGCACCTGGCCATCAATTGCGAGAACGCTGCAAATCCATCCAAAGTCCAGGAGAAGCGACTTAAGTTAAGAGAGCAACAAAGCCAATAGGACTCTATGCATGGAAGGCCTGCCCTGCCTTTAAACTGAAAAGGGTCTCTGTAGTGGGGCATATGGAGACCAGACGTTCAGACTGTCACCCTGAATGTTACAAACAGATATCTGATGTGCGCAGCCATGGTGTACCGCCTTTGAAACACTTGCCAAAGGGGCTAGTGGGGATAAAATAAACAGCCAGTGTAACACAGTTCGTAGTTCGGGAAGAAGGAGGCGGGAACCGGCGAACATTTAAACCAAACTTTAATAAAATAAACAAACACAAAATTAAAGTAAAGTGGCAGCCCCTCGCGGACGACTGCCGCACACAAAACACAAAATAAACTCCAGGCCTGGGCCTCTTTCGCGCCGAAACTCTCTGTCGTCACTCCTCCCTTTTATCCTTCCGGAGCTCCTCCGTAAGACTCGAGACCGGTGAGAGGTGCAGGTTGTCGCTCATTATCAATTACTCCACTGGCCTCGCTCCGTTCCCATGGCTCTCGGCCCCACCCCCACTCGTCACAGCCAGGTTCACCATTGAAGAGAGAGAAGTAGATTGCCTTTTAGACACAGGTGACCACAATTCCTCAGTCATTTTATGAATCAAATTTGTCATACTCGAAGCCTTTGGAAAACTTGCTGGAGGTAGAAGGAGCTAACAGACAGGCTGTGCCGTATTTGGGATACATTGAGTTAACCCTGAAATTCCCCAAGGCATTCATAGGAACTGAAGTTGAAGTCCCCACCCTGGCCCTAGTGGTGCCAGATTTAACAAGTCTTTCCCAGATCCTAGTTGGGACCAATTCTTTAGATGTGCTTTACAGCAAGTGTGCTAAAGAAAATAAGGATAACTTTCAGTCAAGCTTCCATGGTTACCAAGCAAGTTCTCAACCGACTGAAGGAGTATGGGCTGAAATTGTCACCCGAGAAATGTCGGTTCTTTCAGACGTCAGTGAGGCATCTGGGTCATATAGTCTCACAAGATGGGGTAGAGACTGATCCGGCAAAGGTTGAGGCCTTAAAGAATTGGCCTCGCTTTGTTAACCCCAAGTTTCCTATGTGCTTCACACCGATGCCAGTACCACCGGGCTCGGTGCAGCTTTATAACAGGAGCAAGAGGGGCAGATGCGAGTCATAGCCTTTGCCAGCAGAGGATTGACCAAGGGTGAAAGTAAATACCCCGCGCACAAACTAGAGTTGTTGGCACTAAAATGGGCAGTTACTTCCAAATTTAACGGCTACCTCTATGGTGCAGAATTTACCGTCATAACGGATAGCAATCCCTTAACGTATATTCTAACCTCAGCAAAGTTTGATTCCACTAGTTACCGCTGGCTGTCCAGCTTGTCAACTTTCAACTTTAAGCTACAGTACAGAGCAGGTAGCCAAAATCAAGATGCTGATGGGCTTTCTCGACAACCGCATGGTGAGCCTCTAGATGACCTGGTCTCACAAAAGGAGAGAGAAAGGATTAAACAGTTCACACTACACCATCTCATGGGGCCTGGAGCTGAGTCATCTGTTCTCATGGCAGACACAACAAAGGCGATCTGTGAAAAGCATCAGGTGGTGAGGTCTTCTGAAAATCCTACTCCCTCTCACTCCTCACTTACCTTGGTTGAATCCCTTACTCACCATGAGGACGCTCTGCCAAATGAGTTCCAACATGAAGATAAACATGGTCTTCCAGATCTTCCTCGCCTCTCAGAAGCTTCCTTGGCAGAACTGCAGAGAAAAGATCCAGAAATAAGGATTGTTATTGAAGGGTTGGAGAAAGGCATGAAACCTTGTAACCTGAGAGACCAGCCACCTACCATGAGTTTGTGGTCTAAAGAATGGAACCATCTCGAGCTGAGAAGTGGAGTGCTCTACAGGAGGAGACAGGAGCGTGGAGCCTCTTGCTATCTGTTGGCACTGCCCCACCACATTGAGAGACATGGTGTTAAGGAGCCTTCATGATGATATGGGTCATCTAGGTATCGACAGGACCCTGGATCTCATCAGGTCCGAAAATGTCACAGGCAGTGTAAGAAAGGGTCAAAACATGTGAGCGCTGTGTCCGTAGAAAAACACCCCAGGAAAGAGCAGCTCCTTTAGTAAACATCCAAACTAGCAGGCCCTTAGAGTTGGTATGCATAGATTTTCTGTCCCTGGAGCCAGACCAAAGCAACATCAAAAACATACTGGTTATCACGGACCACTTTACAAAGTATGCCGTTGCAATACCAACTCGAAACCAAACTGCCCAAACCGTTGCTAAGAGCCTGTGGGACAATTTCTTGATGCACTATGGGTTTCCGGAGAAACTACATAGTGACCAAGGGGCAAACTTTGAGTCACACACAATAAGGGATTTGCGTAAAGTCGTATGAAAATGTAAACAATTAATACAAAGAAATACAAAAGAAAAATACTTACCTTTTCAGCTATAACCCTGTCTTCTGTGATTATTTCTCTTGTCTTGTTGCAACGCTGGCTCAAGAGCGAACGTAGTCTTCTGATCTGGTCCAAGGCATTAGAAAGTGGTTTATGTTTAGATTGTAGGTCACGTGCTACATCCGGATGAATCAAAACAAATTGTATCCATCACCATAGACTCTCAACCAGGGGATACGCCAAAAGGACACAATGCCATCTAGTCACCCCGTGAAAACATTTACCACATGGCTACAAGAAATATAATTTGAATAGTACTTTATGTGGCTATAGTTTTTAAGTATTTTTGTTTATTTATTCAGCAATGATACATTTTGATGATAATAGCCTAACAATAATTATTTTTAAAAAATTGATCTCAATCTTACTAGCCCATGTGTAAGCTGTAAAGACACAGTGAAGAATACACACTACAGTAAATATATTTAGTAAAAATGTGCTACACAAATGCAAGCAATATTGGCAATTGTGTTTTTTGGTGGGCTTCTTGTAAAGTTATGCAGTGTAGTCAGTCAGTGCTGGGTTTAGTTATTAACTAATGTTCAAATCAAAATGTCATCCTTAAATTTCTTTATACTTAGGACATCACTGTTCTCATGTGAAACGTTTTCTGTAGTTTAGGTACCTCAATTTGTAATAAATGTAGGTCTTCCCCTGATTTTAATTAATTGAATGTCTGTGTTGAATATTAAAACTGTAAACTGACAATGTGTACTGACTGCCTTCTCTCTTTTATAGTAAATTCATGGTACAATGAGAACACCACGGGAGCGAGGCCCTTCCTTCTGGGAAACAGAGGTGCTCCAGAATTTTCAAGAGAATGATTGGTACCTAAACTTCAGAATGCCCAAAGAGACCTTCAATGTCCTTTGTGACCAGCTGCACCCATACATCAACCCCCAAATTACCAACATGTTGGATCCAGTACCTCTAGAGAAGAGGGTAGCAGTGTTACCATCTACAAGCTTGCCAGTAATGTTGAGTTCCACAATGTTGCCAATCTGTTTGGTATTGGAACCAGGACCACCTGTAACATCTTCTGGGAGGTGTGTGAGGCACTGAGCAAACTCAGGAGGGTTTTTGTGAAGAGGCCAAAAACTGTCCCTGAAGTCCAAGCCATCATCACAGGATTTGAGAGGAAGACAGGATTCCCCATGTGTGCTGGAGCTTTGGATGTCACTCACATTCCAATCCTTCCCCAGCGAGCTATCCCACCGACTACTATAACAGAAAATTATGGTACAGTGTTCTTCTTCAAGGACTTGTAGACCACACTTACTGCTTCCTTGATTTCAATGTTGGCTGGCCTGGGAAATGCCACGATGTATATATTTTTGAGTGTTCCCGTCTGTGCCGGAAGCTGGAGGATGGTACCTTTTTCCCTCCATTCAGCAGGAACATCCAAGGGGGCGACATACCTGTCCTGATAGTGGCTGATTCTGCCTACAGCTTGACTAGCAACATAATGAAGCCATTCCCGGAAGGTACAACAAGGGGGCCCAGGGCAGCCTACAACGCCTCCTTGAGCCGTGCTCGTATCCACGTTGAACACGCATTTGGTCACCTCAAAGGCCGCTGGCAATGTGTTATGAAAAAAAATGACTGTCAAACCCAAAATGTGAAGTATGTTATGTCTGCTTGTGTAGTGTTGCACAACTTCTGTGAAATGTAGAAAGTTGCTTACCAGGAACCACAGGAAGATGTGTTGGATCAGCCAGAGGCAGGGCCAGAGCAGCAAGATGTACCTGCTCTCTCCCCAGCAGAGCGCATCGGGGGAGGTCTTGGTAGCTCATATTCACACAAATCAGTAAAGTGCAGAGAAGCCTTGGAAGTTCATACCCAAAGTATGCAGTCAAGACCCACGTGAAATTTAAATCAAACATTTATTTATTTGCAGTCCAGAGCATCCTTCATTTCTGAACTTGTAAATTCACAGTTTCAACTTTTTTTAAAAAATTTTCCAGTGTTTGGATATCAAATATACAATTGTTATAAAATATAACTTTTTTCACAGTTTGGATATAAAATAAAGCATTTTGTTACAAAATAAAAAATAAATGTGCAAATATTGCTTTCCTAAAATAAAAAAGGCACATTCAGAATTTGTCCAGCCAAAGTTGAGTCTCAAGTTTTTTTCTTTACCTCTTTCCCTATGTAAGGATTGATTTTACCAAAACTGAATTCAAGATTCCTATCCTGTAATAAAAGAATAATACTCACTAATCTGGAGAGAGGATCTACAAGAAAAAGCACAGAACAACAACTGGCCCCATCTCATCTCTTCCCCCCCATGCTGAGTTCCTGACTCCTCACACCCTCTCCTTCCCCTCAGGTCTCAGTCAGTCATGCAAATTTCACAAATCTATTGTTTCAAGCTGTTTTATGTATGGTCAATATAAATACTTCAGGTGCGACTGGTAAGGTGGTTTCACTCTTGCATCAACAGAACAGGCAAGAATAATGAAAACAAAACCTGTTCTTCTCATGTGGGAGATGCTCCAATAAAGATCTTTGATAACCATTTGTTTTCATCCCCAAAACTAGGTGTGTGACCTTTTGGGTTACGAGACCCTAACAAACCAAAAGGTCTTTTATGTTTTTACAACTGATTTGAAGATTTCTTTGTTCTGGTCTGGGTATATAAGCGAAGTGGCAAAACACTACTGTACTATTTAATATGTGATTGTTATTGTGACCACTAGAGGGCAGTATGTGATGAATGATGTAAGAGGGTACGATGTAGGGCAGGGTTCCTCAAATCTTGCCCTGGAGGGCCAATGCGCTGCAGAGTTTAGCTCCAACCCTGATCAAACTCACCTACCTGTGATTTTCCAATGATCCTGAAGACATTGATTAGCATGCTCAGGTGTGTTTGATTAGGGTTAGAGCTAAACTCTGCAGGAAAGTAGATCTCGTGGGCCAGATTTGAGGATCCCTGATGTAGAGGAACAGGGGGAAGCTGTGAAATAAGGTGGTAACAATTGTCATTAAAAGTCAGCAAGAGTTCACGAGAAACAGTCTCTTTATTTGAGAAACACAACAACTACTGGGTGTGGTGTGTGTCTCTGCACTCCATACTATGTATTTTCCAGTGGTGGGCCGTCAGGGCCAGCAAAGCCTTCTCTGCTGGCCTAAACACTATGAGAATCACTGATTTAGTTTTAATATATTTTTCCATGAATGTGTATTAAATTATTTCCAATAGTCTATTCTCTTCAATAGCTTTTCTCTTGGTTGCACTGCTTCCAGCAGTGTATGTTTATATTAGAGCTTTTATCCAATCATATTTCAGCAATCGTGTTGCCAGGGTCAAAGAAATCTGCCTTAAGGCCTTCAGAATCAACAGTGCAGGCGTCTGTTAGCTTAAACAATGAAACCGTTGCTTTAACCAATCAGATTTCGAGTTGGCAACATTAGGGCCATTTAGCTGGCTAACGATAACGTCAGCATTTTCTCGTCCTTTGATTGGATGGTCAGCATACTAGCTAGCAAACAGCATCACTGTAAATAATTTTATTAAAACTTAGTAAAACTTTTATTACTGTTCCTCAGGTTTAGATTTTCAGTGCATTTTGAAAAAATATTTGCCTACTATATTTAGGAAATCTAAAAACAGTAGTCCTAATGACTGCGGAAAACAACCACACACCTCCTCGGCACTGGCTCTGTGAAAGACTCGTGAAGATGAAAAACCACTAGAGTATGGTAGATTAATTTACATTTTTGACTCTTTTATCGCTTGATGCGTTGTATGCTGAAGTTATTTGCGCGATATAAAGCCAGGTTTAAGTTTCCGTAAGAATATCTCAGTTTCCCGAGTGGAGCTGTATTAACCGGTCTTTTCCTCCGGCCGCAGCACCGCTGGCAGAGGCAGACCAGCGGGGAGATGAGAGTCACAGACGTACGTTAAAACACATGTATACACTTTTCTTCATCGTCTTGAATGAATTATTTTAATGTTACTTGCTCACTTTCCTAGTAAAGCTGTGCTAACCAGTATTTTCCTCCTGCAGTGCGCTGACAGACCGGTGGGAGACACGTGAAGACGAAATATAGCAGTAAGAGAACATTAAATTGTTAGGTCAATTTTAAAACACATGTAATCCCCTTATTTGTTTTATACTAATGCTATCTGTAAGGTATAAATGCGTTTGGGTGAATAAATGTCTGTAAGAACATCGGATGGACTGTATTTGTGTCATTTTGTTAGGTTAATGCTTCAGCTACAGATGATGTGTTTGTTACACATTTGTTTATTGTTAATTGGGTTTCTTTCTTTAGTAATGGCATTCATTCTCGCTACATACAGTAAGATACCTGTCTGTTATGTAGTGCCCTGTTATACTGCGTTACTGTGTAATATTTATAGTTTCTATAGCCGTGGCATCACTATGATGGTATGAAGAGATGGATTAATTCATGTAAGATGCCACTGAAGGCCTAGGTGTAAAATGCACGGCCCGCCACTGGTATTTTCCAAGGTCAGGTATGCACTTTTTACTCTTAGATTCATCTTTGAGAATTCAATGTTTTGTATTGATTTGATATCTTTGAATTGACAATGTAATTGGAATAATGCATATTTTCCTGACTGATAATAAATTGTTACATTTGATTTTATTCTGACTTACTCTGAAATTATTTCTTGTAGATTAAAGTGGAGTCTGGTATTACCGCAAATCTGTGTTCAGGATAGATCATACAGAAGGCTCAATGAATGGAGCATGGGGCACATAATTTGAGACCTTTTTGATTTCTGACTATCACTGCCTTAGTAATTTGCAGTTTTCGTAAATATACAAAAACTATGTTTTTTGTTGGAGAAAGCTGAACGCGGCAAACTTAAAGGTAGATATTTACCCTGCACCCTCAGTCTAAGATCAGAACTGACGAGTTCAGCTGGCATAAGTTCTCTGTGCGATACCGGGTCCCTAATGAATGAATAATTGAAAGTACAGATGTTCGGAATAATCAAATATTTAAATTAATACATAATCGATATTTGTGATCAGTTCTTAATGAGGAATACAATCTAAATTTAATGATCACTTGAAATTGGAGTCAGATTAAACACGGAGCTAGACTAAAATTGAAACTAAATCCTGATAAATTAAGTGAACTTTGCAGAAGTGCAAGTAAAAGACCTTCATGCATTATACCTTCGCCCATGCCACTAGACTCCACTTTTTGGGCCGGCGGGTGGATTCTTACACCTACATAGAATGTGCAAAATACTGCTTTCTGTAGGGATGCACCGAAACCAAACATAAATCAAAGCAAATTGAAATAAATAAAACAGTGAACTGCCAGACCTTCTGTCTTGCATGTAAACACTAAATCTAAAAGGCCTAAGAACAAATAATGCTTTCCTGCAAGATGGTACGGCACAAAACGCTAGTTGGATGGGTCATTGTAGTAGTGCACTTGATATGATTGCTGGGGCAGGGGGTCCAAGGACTGTAGATGGATAGTCCATGCTCTCAGCTGATAGGTGTTGGGGAGGTGGTGTATAAGGGTAGTAATAAGGGCCGAAAAAGGTGAATGGTGGGACTAAAGCACTGAAACAACTGGAGCATTAACGCCCTGTTTTCTTCTGCTCTTTTCAGCTCATCAGCTTCCATCTTCTTCATTTCAAAATCAAGACGTTTCCTTTCCATCTCCATTCTGTTTCTCTCCATCTCTTTCTCCCATTCAAACCGCTCCCTGTCGAAGTCATGGGTGTTCTCGTTTTGCAGGAGACGGTCCAGACCCTTGTTCATTGCCTCCCTTATCTGGGTTTTTCGTCCCTTTCTTCGGACGATGTGCTGCAAAAACAAAACATTTATTTCAGCAAATTCAGATGGTAAAACCCTTAAATACCGGGAACATTCAATGCTACAGTGATTAAATTAAATTTCAATATCTTTGGTAAGAACTATGTAATGGTCAATTAATGGTTTGTGAATATATCTTTGGGACACTTGTTTTGGTTACATCTGTGTCCCTGACAGTGTCACTACCCCATGCAACGTTCCAAAGTTCAGTTGAATGATGCATCTGTTAATAAAAGGACATTTTTGAACTCTCATAATTCATTTTATTTTTATTCTCAATTAAAGTGATGCTGTGTTGTGTGGTCTTTGTATTATGCTGTTATGGTGGTAGGCTACTCCCAAGCAGGGTGAGGGAGACTGTCCTGGGATTTTGCAAATGCAGGTTTATTGCCGTCTACCACAACATCAACCAGACAAGCCTTGTTTCAGAGCCTATTCATTTCATACATGAACGTGCACACACAACAAAGCATCACTGTAATTGAGAATAACAATACAAGTTATGAGAGCTCCAATACAATTACCTGCTCATTACCTGTGCATCACTCAGCTGAACTTGGGTGCCTTATGTGTGGTAGTGTTGTTGCCTCTGACACACTTATGTAGTCAAAACAAGTGGTGCCAAAAGTTACATTCACAAAACATTGACGGATTGTAGTCTCATCTACAGCTAACCATATCATCCTTTCGCTCCTCAGTAACTACCTACATTTGTGTACCTTATTGAAAAGTTTACCAACATGAGAGCCCACCTTGTGGCTTGGGTTCAGCAGGAGGAGGAGGAGGGGGTGTTGGTTCTTTGGAGGCTGAGCTTTGACTGGATGCCTCATCCTCTGCATAATCTTCCCTGGAGGTGTTGTGATCCTCAGGGCTCTCAGATGAACCTACTGAATACAAAAGGAAATCGAGCAGGTTCACTCAGTAAGAATTTACTAGTAATACTTTTGACTTATTTCTTTATATAAACATAGAGAAGATATAATGTCAACATATAAATTAACAACACAATATAGCATTAAAGTATTGTGCAGTGTACAGGCCAGTGTAGGCTACTCACCACAGTCAGATTCCTCATCTGAACTCCCCTCGTTATCCATCTCCGGGGTTGTTCATAGGTCGGCAACCTGTTAAAACACAATAGAAAACTAAAGTAAAGCTACCGTGCAACAATTGGCACGTGGTTGCCTAAATTGTGCAGCATTACTAAAGTTAATATAACTGTACATTAGCCGCTGTACACTGTGGCTAAACTGGCTATTACTGTATCATATGTGAAAGTGACGTGACATGTGGCCAAGTTTGGTGACCCAAACTTGGAATTAGTGCTCTGCATTTAATCCATCCAAAGTGCACACACACAGCAGTGAACACACACACACCGGGAGCAGTGGGCAGCCATTTATTTAGCAGTTATAGCAGTTGGGGGTTCGGTGCCTTGCTCAAGGGCACCTCAGTCATGGTATTGAAGGTGGGAGAGAGCGCTGTACATTCACTCCCTCCACCTACAATCCCTGCTGGTACGAGACTTGAACCCTCAACCTTTGAGTTACGAGTCCGACTCTCTAACCATTAGGCCATGACTTCCCCGTATATGTTTGCATAACGTTAACATTACTGTGACTTACGTTAGCCGCTGGAACGTTATGTTGCTGCTAAACTGGCAATTACTGTAGCATATGTTAGCTAACGATAGAAGGGAAATGTTGATCAATCTTACCGAGAATAGTGTCCAGTTCATCAAAATAAGGACATTTAATGGGGTTTGATCCGGTCTTTTTGTTACTTTTGAGGCTATCACGGTACTTTCTTCGCAGGTAGTCCAACTTTTCTTTACACTTGGTCCAATCTCCAAAGTCCTGTATAGACAGACGAGGACGAGGTCTTTGTTAATAGTTTCCCAAACGGTGTGGTTGAGCACCATTTGTTCAAATTGCCTTTGGTAATGTGGTTCACCCCAAATATCAATTAAACAGTGTCTCCTCCCACGTCCAATGCCGGGTTTTCTTCTTACCAGCCATGTTGAGAAACAAGGAAGCGGATGTTACACAATACCTTGACATCATATCCGAGAGATAAGTCAGTAAATTCGAGTAAAATCATAGGATTTGCTTATCCCGTGCGAATGCGCCTCACGAAATTCAGATGTGGGGGGTAATTTTTAAATCACACAAGGTCCCCCGATAATACTAATCCCGTGTGAACAGGGCTTTAGCCACTGGCTGCTGCTCTTCACTTACCCACAGAACGGGTTGTGGAGGAATGGACTACCAATATATAGGCAGTTTGGCTAACAAATGTTATGGATGTTGTTTATTTTAAGTTCTGTTATTGTACGGTAGACCATAAAGTGTAATAACGCTAAAAGGCTGTTGTGACTCTTAAATGAATAGTCAAATAAACTTGAATTGAATTGAACTGAATTGACTCTGTCTGTTACAGGAGACTTCTCCAAGCAAAAACACGGATGCTGACTATGAGGGGCAGAATCATCATATGGCCAGCTGTCAATTTGATTGAAATTAGGTAACCCAAAATACATTTGATTTTACATTATAGTTACATTCATGCATTTGCCAGATACTTTAATCCAAAGCAACTTCTGCTGCGTGTAACGCCAAGCCAGCAGAGGGAGCCATCGCCTGAGTACTGACCGTGCTCCACTCCCTCTGCTTCCTCTGCTTTCACTTCCTGTTTAACTTTCATATAAACTGAGACCAGTCCATGTGCTGATTGCGAAGAATTGCCAGTTTACCTGCCTTACCAAGCGTTATTCTTCCTCTGTTCCTGATTGGTTTCCTGTGTATGATTCTGCCTGACTTCTTGACTCACGGTATTTGTACTCTGCCCCTTTTGTTCTGACGCCTGATAGGACTGATGTTTGTGTTTGAACTCATTGCCTGCCTCTCCACTATTGTCTCTGCTTCTGCCCTTGTGTGCGACGAACGATCTGCTTGCTTCTCTGACTTTGACCCTCTGCCTGATTATCGACATCTGTTTAAAGCCTTGACCTTTAATAAACTTCCACTCATGAATTCTAACCAAACTCCAGCGTCTCTGTTACAGAATACTTCGCCTCCTATGAATCCAGCGGAAGTGTCGAATCTGCAAGCAGCATTCTCATACCAAGCTGAAATGCTCCAGAAATATCAGGAACAACTCACCAAGCTGCAGACCGTCAACGAACATCTGACGCACTACATTCAATCTCTCCCTCCACCCACTCCTAAGACCGTAAGTCTCGCTCTTCCTGACAAATTTGACGGTACCGCTGAGCAATGCAAGGGCTTCATTCGCCAAGTACAAGTTTATCTGGATCATCAAGGAGAGAGATTCGAATCAGAGGGCAAAAAGTGCGCTTTCATCATGATGCTGTTGACGGGCAGAGCTATTGACTGGGCAGCAGCCGTTTGGGACTCGGATTCACGCCTGAGGAATTCAGTGACGTACTTCATTCAACATCTCCGTGAAGTGTTTGAATATCCTCACGGCGGAAAGGACGTTTCGACTCAGCTCATCAATCTGACAAAAGGTAATCGTTCCGCTGCTGAGTTTGCCATTGAATTCAGAGCGCTCGCTGCCCAGAGTGGATGGAATGATGTCGCTTTAAAAGCTATGTTTCACAAAAGTCTCAACGGCGATCTTCAGGCACAACATGCATGCAAGGGTGAGGAGTCCTCCTTCTCCGATTTTGTCACACTCACCATCAGGATTGATAACCTCATGAGACAAGCTCCTAAAAGGAGAAGTGGAAGAGATGGGCGAACCAACGATCTCACACCCAACCCTGTAGAAATGTCTTCCCCTGAGGAACTCATGCAAATAAACGCGTCCCGACTATCTGAGCGTGAAAGAGAACGGAGACGACATCAACGACTGTGTTTTTACTGCGGTGAATCAGGCCACCGCAGTTTAGGATGCCCCCACAAGCTTCAAAAGAATCCCCGGGTAAATATTGAACATTTTGCCCTTTTAAGCAACAAGTCATTCACACTCCCTGTTGTCTTAAGAACTGATAGTCTCTCTCTCGACCTCACAGCGATGATTGACTCCGGAGGTGCCCTGAATCTCATCCACCAGGACATCGTAACCAAATATCAAATCCCTACACAAATGTGCACCCCACCTATCCAAGTCAAGGCTATCGATGGTGAATTGATTGGAAGATTAACCAATAACTCCATTATTTCCACAATCTAACACTAAGCTCTCAATGGCAAATGCAGAAACGTTAATTCATGCATTCATCACCTCAAGGTTAGATTATTGTAATGCTTTATTGGGTGGTTGTTCTGCATGCTTAAACAAACTCTAGCTGGTCCAAAATGCAGCAGGTAGACTTCTTACTAGAACCAAGAAGTATGACCATATTAGCCTGGTTCTGTCAACACTTCACTGGCTCCCTATTAAACATCGTATAGATTTTAAAATCTTGCTAATTTCCTATAAAGCCCTGAATGGTTTAGCGCCTCCATATTTGAGTGAGATCTTATCGCATTATAGTCCTTCACATCTGCTGCGATCTCAACACTCTGGCTATTTAATAATACCTAGAATATCAAAATCAACTGTGGGCAGCAGATCCTTTTCCTATTTAGCAACCAAACTCTGGAATAACCTACCTAACAGTGTTTGGGAGGCAGACACACTCTGCATTGTAAAAAGCGCTATATAAATAATGGTGACTTAACTTGGCTCTACTGTTTGATCTACATGAATGCATTATAAGGAATGGAGCTTTAATAATTTGTGATGGATTATCAACCAATTATGCACCTTCGTTTTAGGTGCATTCAGATAGTGTATATAGTGTTAATTAATCTCAAAGCACATACAGCACAAAGTCTGACAGTTGGGGCAAATTCTGTAAACTTATTTGAAAAGTTTTTTGTGCTTGCAGGTTCATTTCGAGAATCAACCCTGGTGGCACCAAATGCCATTCAGAGTCACAGATCAGATGGAATTCAGGAAAGAGGGTGCAAAGGAAAAGCATCAGCCTGAATCCCCTGGTGGTGTTTCTCATCAGAGAGCTTGTCAGTTTTGCCAACATTACTGAAATTGAACACAACAATACAAACTAATTTTTACTGCATTTTATTTCTGTAAAGCCTGTTTTGCCATGCTACAGATACAAAGTCCCCAGGGGACTGTGGTGATGCCCTTTTTTCAGCTAGTGCATGCTAGAGATGAAGATTTGTATTTTTAAATAGAAAATGGTCAACAATTAAAAAGAATATTATAAAGACAAATGCTAATGAGTTATTGTGATTTTTATGGGGTTGGGGTTGTAAAATATGCTATACAGTGCTGTACCATAATTGGATTGTTTTATACAGGTAAAAAATGAAAATAAACTGAACAGTACTAATACTGACAATACAGTAATAATACTTTAAATGAAAATACAGTAATATATCCAGCTACTGTAACATTTACAGAAATCTCTTTACAGTGTAGTTTAGGTGCCTATCAGTTGGCACCCGAATGAGCAGGGGGGAAATAATATAATAAAATCGTTCGCGAGCTGCGAGCATCGTCCAGAGCTGACCGCAGCAAATACCAATAAAGGTACATTTTATTTATTTTTCTGAAATCACTCACTGTTATACTGTACATTTGTTAATAATTTAAATATATTAACAAATATATTTAATGATCTTGTATATGACACTCTCATAATAATCAATTTAATTAACGGGTTAATCGATCTTTTATAAAGCCTCTTTGTAAGTTGTAGCAGGGATGGGCAAACTTGGTACTGGAGGGCCACTGTCCTGCAGTTTAGCTTTAACCGTACCTCTACCAATTAACTTAGTTAGGATTACTAGAAGGCTACAGGTAGTCAAGTTTTATCAGGGTTAGAGCTAAACTCATTTAATATTTAAACTATAAAGAAATGTACAGTATAACAGTGAGTGATTTCAGAAAAAGAAAGAAAATATAGATATTGATTGCCGCTGTCAGCTCCAGAAGATGCTTGTGCAGCCCCTTTTTTCCTCCCTGCTGATAGGCGCCCAAACTAGCTCTTCTTGATTGGTCAAAATTCTCATGATCTCTGAAGAGTGCCCACCATTGCCTCTACAGATTCACAAATCACTTTTGCACCATGGGTGTCTCTCAAACATCTTTTTAAATTATTATTAATGCTCAAAAATCAAGAACAGTACACAAAAAATAATACAACAATCAACATAAAAATAAAAAACAATAATAACAAAAAAATAAGTAAAAACAAATAAAGAAGAAAAAAATAAAAAAGGGGTGTTTAATACATTACAACTCAAAAAATAAAATTGAGACTTACATGTCATTAAAGATAGGAAAATAGTTACATAAAGATAAAGTTTTTAAAGCTTTTTTGTTCTGAGACAGCTGGATCGATGAAAGGTATTGCTCAAATTATTTTATAAAAACAAGAAAGAGAGGTCTGGAGTTTGAATATTTGCATCTATGAATGTGAAATTTAGCAAGAAGCAAAATCAGGTTCACTACATAAAACTGTTTCCTTTTAGATTGTTCAAACTCAATAAAACCCAATACTACGTCCTTCCAAAACAGAATACATTCATTATAAATGTTCCTCCTAATGAAACTTAAAACATCTTGCCAAAATTTTTTGTAAATGGACAGTTCCAAAAAAGATGAACAACTGTTTCAACAGTCATCACAAAAAGAGCAACTGGAGGAAATAATACTTTTTTCATGTAATGCTTTGCAGGATAGAACGAATTATTAATGAATTATTTTGTAGGAAATCTCCTTTAGTTTGTTAGTTAGTAAATAAGTATGAGGAAGCATCCACACTTTTTTCCAGCAGATGTTACCCAATGCATTATTCCAATAAGCAGTCACAGCTGGCAGAGTAATAAAATTCTGCTGAAATAATGAACGGACTATCCTTTTGTTTTTGCATGGAGAGGCAAAACATAATCTACCAACATAAGTATCAACCAAATTAAGAGAAACCGGTGACAAAGGATGGGTACCTCTCAGTATAGCAACAACCGCTGATGGGATAGACCCCATAACTATGGAAAATAATTTTGTAGAGACTTGAATGTGATCTGAAAATTCTTTATCTGAAAATAACAACTGTAAGAAAGGCCGCGCAGTTAACTGAACAATCACATATGCGCAACTCCGGTGCAGACTGACATGCTTCAACACAACCTGAGTGCATGCAAATAAGCGACGAGCAGCGCTCCGTTCTCTTTCAAGCATACGTTTCGGGGTCTCACTATGGGATACGCCCCTTCCGCGTATTCCTAGAAGCCCTATTACATTACGCCAGCCCCATTTGGCTGGAAGACGTGATGTTGTGTCTGGGAGTGGCCTCCCCACCCCTCAGTATAAAGAGCACAACACAACGTCACCACGACATTCAAAAACCTCTTCTCGCTTCACACCAGAAGCCTACGAATTAGGTATACTTTTAACAAACTCCTGGACGAACAACTGGCCTCCATGCCATTTTTCGCCTGGCTCCTTCCATTTGCATTCCAGCCGATTGCAAGGACTGTTCGATATTACGATGGCTGCAGCAATGCAGACTGTCCCGGCTTATGAGGGAGATGCTGTGCGACTTTGTTCATGTGGGAACAAAATTTCATGCAAGGACACACACCAGGTCTGCTCTGCATGTCTTGGGCTGAAACATGCCCAATTGGTGATCGAGAATGTCTCTAGGTTACGTATGTAACCATGGTTCCCCGAGGGAACGAGACGCTGCGTCGAGTCGCTTTGGGAACGCCCTTGCGTGACCGCGTTCTGAAGCATGTGTCAAATCCGTCCAATGGAGCAGCGAGACGTCACGAGCAGGGTGACGTAAGCACCAGAAAGCATAAAAGCACATCCGGCCGGGCGCAAACCAGCTTCGATGAAGTAGCGCCTGCTGGGATGCAGGGAGTATGGCAAAGAGACGCAGCGTCTCGTTCCCTCGGGGAACCATGGTTACATACACCCGGCCGGATGTGCTTTTATGCTTTCTGGTGCTTACGTCACCCTGCTCGTGACGTCTCGCGGCTCCATTGGACGGATTTGACACGTGCTTCAGAATGCGGTCACGCAAGGGCGTTCCCAAAGCGACTCGACGCAGCTCGAGTTCCTGAAGGGGAACCCCGGTTCCTGTGAACACTGCGCACACTTCACTATGAAGAGCCTTCGTCACAGGCTAGCACGCCAAGCTAGCCTGTCAGGCCACGATCCCCTCATGTCACCTAGCCCCGTTCCAGCTGCCACTCCGCAGGTACCCATCCCTGTAGAGCTGCCCACCACGGCAGCTTTATCCTGGGGTGAACAGCTTGACGTTTGCGTCCCTCTGCCCAGTGCGCTCAGCACGGACGAGGAAGAGGATGCGCTTGATTTCGAGGAAGAGGGACAATCAGACTTTCTTCTCTCTGAAGAAGAGGAAGATTTCGAGGACTCCCCTTTCCTCCCCCCTGCACTCCCGGGCACAATTCCTCGCCACGGCGGGATCCACGGCAGATGCGGACGGAGCACCATCCCCTCTTCTCAGTGTTGATCTGCAGGATGTGTGCAAACGCGCTGCAGAGAAATTAAACATTCCGTGGCCGACCGTGGTAGCAGAGACTGTAAAGTCTCGCTACGAGGGCAAGAGGCTGCCGAGAGCGAAACGGGCAGCATGGCAGCTCCTTCCTGTGTTTCCAGAGCTCCTGGAGGAAGTTGCGGTGACCTGAAGGGACAAAATGCCCGTGCCGGGAGGATCCGCTCTCGATGTGGAGGGAATGGAGAAGGTAGGACTTTTCCGAATGCCCCCCATGGAGCCATTAGTTGCCGTGCACTTGCACCTAAAGCACACGGCGGCTGCAAATTCGACATTGCCATCCAAAGCAGACTGTTTCCAGTCAAGCATGACGGAACGTGCTTATAAAGCAGTTGCTCTCTCTGTCAGGGCTCTGAACGCGACCTCTATGCTGACCGCGTACCAAGCGGAATTGCAGGACGAAACATCGACCATGCCAGTTCAGAGGCACTGGGAAAAGATCTGTGTCATGAATGCAGCGGGTCACAGCGAAGTCCCAGAACAGAGAACTGCCTGGCCAAGGAAGAACTATCCGCCTGCAACAGCTCAGGCGGTCCAGCCAGCTCCTCAGGGAGCGAGGAGGAAAAAGAAGGCAGTTTGATGGGGTCTTCCCCGGGGAAAGGAGCCCACAGCCCCTCTGTTCGCTAACTCCCGACCCTCAGATGTTCAGCGTTCGACAAGGGACGAGTTTCGAAGTTCCCAGATGTTCTGTGTGGGAAATAGAGCCCGGTTGGGCCAGGGGAAGCAGAGCCGTGAAAAGGACAAGAGATGGTGCAGTGGTGCACACCCACCCACTAGTCACAAGCACTTTTCATGTTCAAAACTCAATAAAGTTTTCACTGTATTCCCAGAACATGTTGCAAAACATAATTCCACAAAAAATTTAGCAAAACATGTTAACAGAACACATAACATAACCTCTGGGAGTTATCGCTCCCTTAGAGGTGATGAGACACTTAAACTCTGTCCAAGCGCTAAGTGCCCACGCATGCCCAGTACAGACCACAAACTCGTTCACGACTCAGCCACACGATGGCGCCAGAACGCTGCGAATAATCAGTTGGCGAGAATGCACACAGTTCCGCTGGGTATTAAGGACAATACAGTTTGGGTACAGACTGCAGTTTGCCGCTTCCTCCCCGCATTTCAAAGGGATATTCATTCTCAGGTGTGGGGAGAATTAAAGCATGTTCTTCAGGAAGAAATTTCCTCTCTGTTGAACAAAAGGGCGATAAGAGTGGTCCCGCCCGAGCAGAGCCACAGCGGGTTTTACTCGAGATATTTCCTCGTCCCAAAGAAAGTGACTTGAGCTCTTCGTCCCATATTAGATCTGCGTGCACTGAACAAATACTTAAGAAAGTACAAGTTCAGAATGCTATTCAAAGGGATAATTCATTCTCAGGTGCAGGGAGAATTAAAGCATGTTCTTCAGGAAGAAATTTCCTCTCTGTTGAACAAAAGGGCGATAAGAGTGGTCCCGCCCGAGCAGAGCCACAGCGGGTTTTACTCGAGATATTTCCTCGTCCCAAAGAAAGTGACTTGAGCTCTTCGTCCCATATTAGATCTGCGTGCACTGAACAAATACTTAAGAAAGTACAAGTTCAGAATGCTCACTCATTCTACACTCCTAATATTGGTGCGCCAGGGCGATTGGTTTACATCAATCAACCTGAAAGACGCATATTTTCACATAAAGATATATCCACCCCACAGGAAATTCCTGAGGTTTGCTTTCCTTGGCGTGGCATACGAATATCTGGTTCTACCATTCAGCTTGTCTCTCAGCCCCCGAGTGTTTGTAAAATTTACAGAAGTGGCCCTGACTCAGGGAGAAAGGCATTCGTCTCGCTACTTACATAGATGACTGGCTGGTGACAGCTCGGTCAGAGCAAGAAGTGAGAGAACACACAGTTATGCTTCTGGAACATATACAGAAA